TTGAAAATTGGTAGAATGACGGGTATTTATATGCTTTACTATTTTATATAACCCGTTTATTTTCAGAGTAATAATGGTTGAGATATAAATGGTTTATATTGGTATAATAAATTATATGCAAAAAAACCGGTCTGGATCGGTCTGAACTGGTATCATGGACCGCAAAAGACCGGTCCTAGGTGGTTCGGTTCGGTTCCCTCAATATCTGGGTCGGTCCTGGACCGGTTGCGGTCCACGGTTGCGCGTTTTCGGGGCAAAAAACCGGACTGAACTGAACCTTTAAACCCTAGAATAGATGCTCGAGTTAAATCAGTATACACCAACCAGATTAGAGATTCGAGAGATGATATGTTAGATAAAATGGCTACTCGAATTGATACACTGTTGGGTAATAAGGTGCTGGCACAGGTGGCACGTCCATCGGTACAAGAAGTTGACATAGTCAACAATATGAAAAACATTCTGTCATATTTTGAGGGACAGCAAGGTCAAGGTCAAGAAGCTGCAAGTTATGTAGCTACTAGACGCAGTCAAGCTGATACTCAGGGACAGCAGGGTTTCTTGTAGGTTCAAGGATTGAGCGATCTGGTAGGAATGCGGTCAATACCAGAAGTAAGAAAGCTCTTGAGAACCAAACTAAAGCCAAAAACCACAGACAATTAGCAGAATTCAAAGATTCTGATGATGAGCAAGAAGAAGAAATTGAAGAAGTGGAGGAAGAAATTCCTCCTGTAGTAATTAAGAAAACCCAGAAAGCTATACCAAAACCGAAAGAGAAGCCTAAACCACTTCTCCCAAGGGATGATGAAGAGGAGGATCCAGTGCATAGGCATAAACAGTTACCATACTTAAATATTCCTGACCTGAATGATCCAAGACAAAAAGAAGAAATAAAGGTTGATAATTTTGAGCCAATTATTGATACTGAGAAAAGACCTGTTTCTTATAAACACCAAGCACGTGTTTTCAACAAAAAGTTACAGAAAGTTTCCCTAAAGGCAATTGAACCCATACAACTGATTTGTCCTATTGACATGGAGTGTACAACTGCCTCTTGTAAATTTTGACACATTGGAGTATATACTCCAATGTGATATACCTTTGGTGACCCTGATTAAAGGGTCATCAATTCTTAAGAATGTTGCTGCATTGACTGGAGAATGTACAACATGTCACTCAATGTATTATGCTGACCATCAAATACATCATAATAGAGGCAGTCAGACAGAAATATTTCTGAACTCAGCTAAATACCTCCAAATTGGAAGCAATATTTGGGTTGACACAATCTTTTCAAATGCACTATTGAATGGCATGTACTCATTTCATGCATCTGCAAACACCTATACACAGTATTGGAACAATAGCTTTGGAGTTATTGACCCTCACAACACATTCAAATTCAGTCGAAAACAAGTTTGGCAAGCTTTTGTGCAGCATTCTATTTTTGAAACCCAACCTAACATTGCTATTGATGATCTTACTCAACATGCATTTGTTGTTCTTGGTAAAAATGGTGAAATACCAGGTGCAAGAGAACATACTTGTTCTGAATGTACTAAGCCATTCAAATGAGCAATGTGGGATACAGAGCGGATTCCAGGTACACTTGATGTTAATATGTTAACTTTGGATGGTGTTGTTATGGGTCCACAGGTTTGTTTATTTAATTTGGGTTGGTTTTGATTTGATATTGATTCTCTGCTTAGATTTGTGCTTTTGATGATTGCACCAATGACCTTCTCAATGCTCATGGTGGTGCACTCTGTGCAACACATGAAGCTTTACTTGCAAATAAATGTTGTGTGGTTGGCTGTTCTAAATACAAGATTCAAGGAACACAAGCTTGTGCTGAACATGTTGCTGACTGGAAGAAAAGTATTCATGATTGCAGTAAAGCCACCATTAATGGTATTCGGTGTGTTCTTCAACGTCCTGGTGAACGACAAGAGTGGCCAAACATCTTTGATGCTGCTATTCAGCTGCCACATGATGATGAGGTTGAGACTGAAAATCCTCAACCCACCATAAAACGAAAGACCTATTTCTCACCCAATCACTCATATTGTGTTGAAACAGCATGTTCACCATGTGGAGTTGTCATTGCATGGACCAAATTTCCAAAATCTGAATCTCCAACTAACATTCTTAATTGGCTTGATGAATTGTTTCCTAACAAGGAAGATCGGCCTTCTTATATATGCATTGACAAAGCATGTCAAGTTTTCAAAACAGCTGTTGGAAGTGAGAGATGGAAAGACTGGACAGACACAACTTGTTTTATTATTGACACATATCACTACAACAATCACTGTGCCAAAGATGAAATTTGTTGGAAATGGTGTAATCCTGCACCAAAAGATGGTAGTGCACCAAATCTTGTGGGAGAAACAATTGATGAGGATGGCAATCTTATTCAATGGAGAGAATTTAACACTCAAGTCTGTGAACAGCTTAATGCATGGCTTGCTGGTTATGAATCTATTTTGAAGCAAATGACATTTCAAATTTTCAATTGGTTTATACATACTATGCTTGTTTACCATGTCAAGCATGTGCTTGCCAAGATGACATCTATGGAGGATGATGAATCAGCAGATGAAGAAAGCAGTGATGAAGAAAGTAGTCATGAAGAAAGCAATCAGGAGGAAGAAATGGATTCAAAAAGTGAAAGTGGTTC